TGTTTAGTCCCTGCTTCTCATACCGATTTTCGCTGCATGATGATTTTGACAGCTCCCTCCACGCTCGCAAAACAGGTGTTTTCAGGACCTAAGCTTCACAAGACAGCAATTTAAACAGCTGATCGGCAGTTCGCAAAGCGGCTTTCCTATGGCCGATCTTCGCTAGACAACGATGATTCTTCCCCATTGGAACGCATTAAACATGTTTCAATGCATTCCAATGGGGAAATGCTTTTCGCTAGACAATGATTTCGCTAAACAGGAAGTTCAGTCGAGCGGATTATCATTGTCTAGTGAGGCACCACTGTATAGTATTGCAGTACTGCACTATGCCAACAGAAATAGCAATTAATTCCATCTCTTCACAGTTTTCCAAGCACTTAAAGCACTTGGCAGTTTACAATGTAATCGTGCAGGCTACGCATTGCCCCTCCCACCGCAGCAAGCTGGGTACTTAATTTACTAACCTTGTAAGGATTGAAAGCTGAGTGAACTTTGAGCCAGCTACCTGGGATTGAGCCCTGGTCGTGAGAAGAATTTTGGCTACAGTACAGCAATTTAACCACCTGTGCCATGAGGCTTGTTATCTATTTTAGGTCTATTTTTACACTCTTGCTGCAGTGGAGTCCTTAAAACTGTCTACAGCTTTCATACCAAGTGTAACATTTCCTTTATGAAACTTCACAATTCAGAAATTAAAACTGTAAAACCAGGTGGCTTCAGAAGGAGAAAGGGGATATGGAGAAGGAAGAAAAGAACAGTTAGTTGTAGAGAAACTAGGAGTTTAGACTATTGAAATGTAACAAAATTTGGCCTTATTCCTTCTGACAGCAGGAGCAAATATCCTGCTACTTTTTCTGGCACTTCTCCTTTTTATGAAACTCCACAATCTATGCTACTATAAGCTTTGATTTTACTATTGGCTTTTTTTTTGGGGGGGGGTGCAGATACTGCCCTGTCCAAGTTCATAATAATTTTTCTTACTGGATAATATTATATTGGGCTTCCTTGATAGTTGTGAGTGATAGTCCATCTTTCTTTATATGAACTGTTCCTTCACTTCTCCAGCAAAACATTTTGGGTTGGATCCAGAGTTCTTGTGAAGAGGATTTCACTTCTGGAATACTCCTATGGAGGAAGGGTGTGGCAGGCATTTTCTGATCATTCTCGCCTCCTGCATGCTCTGTAATGTCGAAAAAGCTGTTCTGAATATTTGGGGACTGGTTGGAATTGTGAAAGAAGTGGGGCCAGGCAATACTGGAGAACAAAGAGTTAAGCAAAGGTAGTCTCCTTCTCTTTCTTCTGGTAAAAAGTGCCACTAAGTCTCAGAATTACAATATGTGCTACATTGAATAGGTCACCTGTAACTAAAGATTTATTTTTGGTTGGGAAAAAAGTTGGTCTGTTTTTTTTTAAAAAAAGAGGTTGGTTTTTTGTAAAAAATTGGTTTTTATCTTATCTGTTTTTAGAATAACGTTTTGTTGCTGCACATTTCTCTGGAAGCCCTCACAGGCTATGGAGTGTTTTTTTAAAAAAAACTAATTGAACATGTCAGGACCTAATCTGGATTGGACACTCCTTGGGGAGAGGACAGGCAGCTGTTGTTATTTTTCCCCCCAGTATATCTGTCCCTTTCCCTCTCCACTGGGAGATTTTAAAAGGAAAATTACCTATTGCTGCTGTAGGAGGAATATTCTGGATTTAAACCATCTGCACTCTAAATTTAATTTCTAAAAAGCCTTCTTCAGAGAGCTATTTTGCCCATCATTAAAACTGCCCTTGTCACTGAGAATATTTTAAAGGAAAGGCCTGTTCTTATTTTTGTTCTCTTAACTGCACTTAAATGCTCACAAATAAGAGTTGGCCCTTTGGGGAGAGGGGTGGAGACAAAGCCAATGCATTCTGAGAAGCTACAAAGTTCCCAAGTATTTCACGGAGGTTTTGTTGAAAATGCTTTCCTGGCTTCTGAAATTTGCTGGGCCTCTTGAACCTCAAAGGGAAGTGGGTTCCTGTTTTTTGAATATGGATTTTATGGTGTAAATGATGGTTTTGGCTACTTGTCTCTGAAGGTTCATGCATCTTTATAGCATAGCAGGATGGCTAGATTAAATAAAGCACCATGTTTCTGTATCCTTAATAGTTACCATATTTTTCCATGTATAAGACTATACTTTTGTCTAAAATCTTTAAACTAAAAATTGAGGGTCGTCTTATACATGGAAGTAAGCTGAGGAGAGAACAAAAACAAGTGGAGGGGAAAGCAGGGCTCAACGCTATCCTGCAGCACTTTGATCCCTTTCCCCCCAACCTTGCTAAGCCCCACTTAGATTTCTTAATTTTGGATTAGAAAAGGGAGGGCATGTCTTATACACAGAAAAATGCAGTACTTAGAAGGAGCTATTTCAGCTGTTGTAACTTTTAATGCATGCCATATCTGCTGGAATTTCCTCTTCCAAACATCTGTCTATTGAAGGTACAGGAAGCCTCTCCCCTTTTTCATCTAGTCACCCTACTGAATAGGCAAGTATGGTCAAGCTGCATGTATTAATGAAATATACAGGAAGGGTGAATGCCCACGCCTCTCACAGAATTGACTGCAGAGTTAATTCACAAAATACAGTGACAACACTTGCATACGTTTGGCCATATTTAAAAGAAACCGCAGCTTTGAGAATAAACTGCTTTCCCAAATGGCTACTTAAAGACCTTTTTTATGGCATAAAAGGGAAAAGATACTATATAATGGTACTTTTTATATGCTCATCAAGGGAATTACTGCATGCTTCAGTTGTGATTCAGGAAGAGGTAACTGAAATTTTATGTAACCAGCAGTGGATACATTTAGACATTTATGTTAGAGGAATTAACAACACAATCTGTTTTCTAGATAGTATATTATATATGGATGGTCCTCCAATGTTTTCTTGTATTTTATACATCCCCTTAGGGCAACAGGACAAAAGACTCTCTATATACTGCATGCACTTAAATCCCCATATGCTGAAATTCTGACACGTATGATAGTTTACAAGTCCCACACTGTTAAAACTCTGACATGCTCAGTATCTCCATTTGCAAGGTTAATAATGCTGATCGCTGAGATCAACGAAAAGAGAAGCATTTTTCGAAAGATGAGTCTGCTGTTAGTAGTCCAAACTGAGCTTCAGATTATTTATTTAGAAATCCATCACAGAAAACACACTCATTGCCACATCCATATGGTGTGAACTGGACTTCTCTGCTAATACCCAATCTTGCAGAAGCTCCTTGAATTCATGTTCTCTTCCTCTCATCTTTTGTTTGGAGTTACAGACCTGGTCTAACATCACTTGGCAGGGAAGTAAAATTCAACAGAGGTACCAATCCAAATAACCACACAAATTCGGGAAAACTTCATCTTGTTTCTCAACAGCAGCCCCATATGGCAGACAAAGAGAATTTCAAAAGCAGCTTATGACAAGCAAAGTGTCAGATATTCAAAAGGGGGGGAAAGCCAAATACTTTTGGGCATCCTCAAGCAGCTCTCTGGATCCTAGACAGAAGTTGATTTCTTGGAACTACAATACCATAAAATAATGATTTTTAAAAACTGATTGTTTATCCTTTGAGGCTTGGAGTATTGGTCTCTTAGCCACCATAAGGGCTCGTAAAGTTCAGTATCATTGTCCTTTTGTTAAGTTCTGTAGGACAGGAATATAATTATAGAACATGAATATCTAGAAATATGAAAGAGTTCCCCAATACTACATTAATGCAAGTGACAACTTCAGTTCGAAATAAATACATTACAGAACAGGCCAGATCATAAACATCAAGGATGCATTTGAGTGAAATTGCATCAAAGCAGAAAGCCTGTCCAAACCCAGACCTTGACCAGGATCCAGTTCTACAGGATCCCATTGCTTTCATTAAAATCAGTGATTACCCCCCCACACACATCCTATAACCCTCCATTCCTCACTAAATGTGTTCTAGAACCCTGGCAGGGCAGGTTTCTGACACCACAAAGGGCTACAGAAGCGGAAGGAAGAGAAACAAGTCCCAATTCCACTGTTGTTGGATATGGAAATGATGGCTACAGAAATATTTTACCAGCTTTTGGTCCTTAGCTTATCAACTCTCCAACAACCCTCAACTCAAAATCTAAAGCATGGCTTCAGTCTCTGGCTTATTGAAGGAACAAGAATTCAGTGCTCATAGATGAGATATGACAATAAACTTTTCCACCCTGCATAAGTTCTTAGTTTGTTCATCCACTCCTGCTGACCAGTAGAACTAAACAAGAGTGTTCTGGGAGCCTCATGAGTGCACTTGTATGTTGAGGCAACTGTTGTTGGGAAGAGAAATATGTAAAGAGATTCTTTTTCCTGCAATTACTTTTTTAAGAAGAAAGTCTTAAGCAACTGAGGCAAACTTTTCTCACAAAAATCCTTCTGTTGCACAAAAGTGGATTTAAAAAACGCAAACTGCCTGTTATAAGGAATTAGCTATAGTCATTGTCGTTGTTGTTTAGTCGTTAAGTCATGTCCAACTCTTCGTGACCCATGGACCAGAGCATGCCAGGCCCTCCTCTCTTCCACTGCCTCCCGGAGTTGGGTCAAATTCATGTTGGTGGCTTCGATAACACTGTCCAACCATCTCATCCTCTGTCGTCCCCTTCTCTTGCCTTCACATTTTCCCAACATCAGGGGCTTTTCCAGAGAGTCTTCTCTTCTCGTGAGATGGCCAAGGTATCGGAGCCTCAGCTTCAGGATCTGTCCTTCCAGTGAGCACTCAGGGTTGATACTGTATAGTCATTGTTGTTGTACATGCTGCATTTTCAGCTGAGACATCCAACCTGCTGTAATTTTATTTTTGGGTCTGTATTGCCTTTAATTGGTAATTAGAAATGAGACAGGAAGATACTGTTTTATCTTCTAGCTGGCTTCTCCGCTTATCTATTCTTTATTATTGGTGCTGTGTTTAGTATGCATGTAATGTGGTCTCTTCTATTGTTTTAGCTCCTCTCTTTGAAACGGAATGCAGTTATACGGAGGCTACCCTTGAAGAGTTTCTTGCCTGGAGTGGAAGACAACCGTCTCGCTCTTCTGGCCCGTTCTGTGATTACGATGTGTGTCAATACTGGACTTACGCTGACTATAAGTATATTGCGAGGCTGTTTGAAGACAAGCCAGAGCACTTCCAGGTACATTACCAACCTTTTCGTGTCTTTCATTTATCTCATCAAAACATGATGGGAACATCCAGGCAATCTTCTTAATGTTGTGCAGCCAGTCTGGGTGTTGCAGAGATTGGTGCATCGTAATTTTGTTAAATTGTCATTTGTTACATTTCTGTCCTATTTCCTAGAAACTCAGGAAAGTGTACATGATTTTTACCTCCTGTTCTCCCATTCCACTTCACAGAATTGAACATCAAGAGGAAGCCGTAAGTTTAGTCCAGGGGTCTCCAAACTTCAGCGGGAGGGCCACATCATTTATGCTCCACATTTTTGAGGGCTGAAGGAAGACGCACACGTATGCACGCATGCACAAGCACTCATGCATGTGTGCCCATTCGTTGGGCCAGATATAAAGGTGAGGTGGGCCAGATGTGGCCTGTGGACGATATTTTGGAGACCCCTGATTTAGTCCAAATTCTTCACCCATTCATGGAACTCAAAGCTATAGCATATGTAGCAGATTGCTCTCCAATTCTCCTACAGTGAAAGGAGGGCACCCTTACTATGGGTTGCCCCTTCCACTTGCTTTGAAAGGCAAGAGTTTTTAAATCAATCCTGTGATCCAATTCTGCTGGGTGAGGACAGTCCAGGAAGTGAAGTCTACTTCCTCCTGTGCTCTACTTAGGTGAAGAGATTCAATTTTCTCAATTCACTAACCACTTTCTTTATTATACAGTTATAAAAACATTCCATCTGTCTCTCATCAATCTTTGCATTCTCTACCCTCCCTTCACCAGATATCTGAAGAGGTGCTGTCTCAGCGGAGGGTGGGGGAGCAGTCCAGGCTTCTTCAGTGATGCCCTAGTGACTATGAGGCATACCACCACAGACTTCAGTATATCTCATATCTGCCATGAGTACTCTAGTACCAGCTCCCAGTATTAGAGTGGGATCCACAAAGTGAAACTTCAGGATGCCAGCCTTCAAATACTTGCAGGACATTGAAGGTACCAAGAGGGAGGACCTTTCAAAGGGGAGTGACTAATAATGAAGGTTATCCATTCTCCTAACCATTATTGTTGTAGGCATTCCCTCAATCCTGTTTTTGGAATGAGCCAGGAAGGAGGTCAAACCTCCAGCTAGGGGACACCTCACCAGTGTGCCAGTGACTTGGGGAATGCAGAAAGGGAGGATGAAGATGAAGCCTTCCCTCCATCTCCAAAGCACTGTACTAGCATGAAGTCAGGGATTCAGGGATGAAACAGAAGGTGTGATAGAGAACTTTCCTCTTCCTTCATCACTAGAGTGGATAGAAATCTACTCAACTTCATGAGGATACCTCCGGATTCATCTTCTGCATTTCAGATGCCATCTTGTCACACAAAACAAGTGACAAAGAAGCAGGTACCGTTTTAAAACATGCGGCAAACCTGCATTCTAATCCTACTTCCTCCATCAGGATATGAAGCTATAACATTCCCAGGTTCATGATAGTCAAAACCAAACAAACAACAACAACATCAACAACAAAAACAGACATCCGTAACCCACTTCCTCTGAGTTTGAAATGGCCCCTTCACCACTACCCCATTCCTCAGGAGAATGGGCTTGGTTTTGTAGGTCTCACCCAGCCTGCAGGATGAGGTGAAGAATTATTGATCTGGAATTTATCTAGATTGGTATTCTCTGTCTAGCTACTGAGATCTAGGGCCTTTGTTGTCTCCTGATTTATATGAGGATTGAGTATAATAAAATGTTTTATTAGATCGCTTTCTTCCGTTGTCTCATGGGAAGCTCTTTCTTTTTATCTTTAGTATCTGCTTGAACTACTTCTAGAGACTCTCCAAATAACTTTGTAGTCATATCTCCTTGTCTAGCTAAACAAGTGTGTAACCTTTGGAGGTAAAAGTTTTTTTGGAGTCATATGCTACTGACAGTATCTATGGTGATTGATTTCTCAACCAGGGGCAAGTCAGTTCCAAAAGTTACATTGTTTGTTTTACACCTGTGGCTCTGAAGACTCTGTAAGTACAATTGGTTTGGGATCTAGAGTTAGCTTGTCATGGTTTCAGCAAATCTATCTACAGCCTGACACAGCCATTTTCTGAGCTTAACTACTAAACTGCATGCTGCAGACGTAAGCATATACACGAAAGGTTGCTGCCTTGACTATTTTCTTAACATTATGTTTCAACTCGAGATTGCCCTGAAAAAAATATTTCAAGATATATTTGGCCCAGGGATAAGTAGCCATGCCAAAGTGCAGACTCTGCTCTTTTATCTTCCTAATTTATCAGAGACTCTGCATAAATAGAAAAAGATAGGCTGAGAGTTCTATGTCTACAAAAGATTGCAATCTGTACAACAGTGTCTTGGGTAAATTGTAAAAATTTTTCATCTGAGACGACTGGATCTAGCTGCAGCCTGGTTCTCCCATTCCTCTCTAACTGTGACCACAAATAAATAGGGATGAGTTTTTACGATTTCTTGGACCACAAACCTCATAATTCTCCATTCTGGGATTTCTGCCTGACATATAAACACCTGAATGTGGCTCATGTAGGAGAAAGGCCAAAACTGGAAAGCTCTGAGACTTAGCTAGGCCTAACTCTGTCTAGCTTCATGTCCAGAAAGGAAACTCCCAGTTACCACCAGGGCAGGAGCAGAAAGTTTGAGTGGAACTAGGCCTTAAAGCTTTCCTGTTTAGGCCTTTCTCCCAGGTGAGCCACATTTATGTCTTTCAGAGAAAACTCCCAGAATGTAGAATGATGGGATCTGTAGTCTGAGAAATCCAAAATTCCCATCCCTAATCACAGCTCAGGGTAGTGGCAGTTTTCCTGAATGTTTACCCTGAACCTTCAGGGAGGTCAGGATCCACAAATTTGAATGGAACTCCTATGATTTTAAATCCAAGATTTGCACTACCTTTTAAAACCTGACTCGGATGTCTTCTACCTGAAAAAAGTGAGAGGAGGCTTGAGCTTATCTCCATCCTTCTGTCAGAGCAATAAACTAAGTGATGTACAAGGACATGGGAGACCTGGGCTTGAATTCCAACTCAGCAGTAGACATTCATTGGATGGCATGGAACTGGTAAAACTACTAAAGTACCTCACTTACCTTCTTAGGGTTGCTATAAGTCAGTCCAGACTTCATGGCACATAACACATCACATTAAACCACAAATTAACACATATAAGGAAGAGAATGCTTGTAGTCAGAAGAAGAAGAAGAAAGAAACCCCTCAGTGGATGACTGATGAACTTGTTAATCACAAAAGACAAGCAAAAGTAAAGAGGGACAGAAATAGGGTCCTTCTTTTCTTAAGAATCCTAAACACAATTTGTCAGTGACTTGTACATAGCAGTGGTTCCAATGCTGGATCTCCAGATGTTCTTGGACTACAGCTCCCAGAAATCCTGGTCAGCACAGCTAGTGGTGAAAGCTTCTGGGAGTTTTAGTCCAAGAACATCTGGGGACCCAACATTGGGAACTACTGAAACATAGGAATAAAGAGAAGTGTTATAATCAATGCAAAGAAATAAAAGGAAGCAGTGGAAGAGTTAAAACAAGATATCTCTTCCGTAAGAACCAAAAACCAAAGAAAAAGTCAAACCAAGATTAGGGATCCTGAAAAATCAGTGGGAATATATTAGGATTGAGATGATTAAAGAAACATACAGAAGAACTCTACGGAAGGGAGCCAAAGAAGCTTGATTCTTTCATAGAAGGAGGACCTGCTATTTTAGAACACAAAGTTGCGTTCAAAACAATTTGGAGGAAGTAAACTCTAGGAGTAAATGGGAACTGTTTCAAACTTTGTGTGTATGTTATGTACTGTCCGATTGGAACTGAATGACAGTGACCATAATAGGGCGTTCAAGGTAAGTGAGATACTTAAAAGAGTGGTTTTACCAGTTCCACACCCTCCAGTGAGATTCTATGGCCCAGCAGGGATTCAAGCCCAGGTCTCTTATTATTTATTATTATTAGTTTTATTTGTATGCTGCATTTCTCCCAACAAAGGGACCTAAGGCAGCTCCTACATTCTAGTCTGTCATTCTCTCTACTACATCACACCCATTTCAAGCTACAGAGACTGAATCTATAAAAATCATAAGAAAAGTGTGCCAAAAGGTATGGAAAACAAAATGGTGACCCACAGACTTACAAAAACAACCAGCCCCCAATTCAGCTTTGTCGAGGCTTCGCAGTCCTGTTCTCGACACCGACAAATTCTCATACCACCTAATAAATGAGGGTTGCCAACTACCAGGGAGCCATGGGTGTGCCACCCCGAATGTTGCTTCAGCGATAAGGTGAGGTGCTGACTTAAATTCAGCCATTTTATTATCATCAGAATTTAAAAAGGGGAGAGTGATACCAGAGCAGAATCAAACTAGATTTTAGTATAACTCTTAGCAGAGAAAACATAGGTCTCAGAGAATCTAGGCCCAGGAACATTCACACATAGTATAGAATGTCATTGTAACACTTTTGTTTTGCCCATCCTCCTCTTGATCTGGCAGATGGCCTGGTCCTGGAATGCAGGCAGGAGGAAACCACTGGCAGGCCAAAACATTCACACCAGGGAGCTGGAGAGTGAAGGCCATATATCAGGGCCCAGGAAGGCTACACATAAACATACCAATAGATAAGGGAAATAGATACTTTTTTCCTCCAGACATTCAGGTGCATCTTGGGCATAGGCCAAGGACACATGAGCACACAATAAGCATATATATAGGTAAAGGTAAAGGTTCCCCTTGACATTTTTAGTCCAGTCGTGTCCGACTCTAGGGGGCGGGGCTCATTTTCAAGCTGTAGAGCCGGCACTTGGCCAAAGACAGTTTCTGTTGTCACATGGCCAGCGTGACTAGGGAACGCTGTTTTACCTTCCCACCGAGGTGGTACCTATTTATCTACTCGCATTTGGATGCTTTCGAACTGCTAGGTTGGCGAGGAGCTGGGACAAAGCGATGGGAGCTCACTCTGTCGCGTGGATTTGATCTTACGATTGCTTG